AAAACACCAGACATCATGATACAGACTTATAATTTGCACCGATGTTTTTTCAAAATTCTATACGCGAAAAGTGAGCGGAAGAGCCCTCGGTGCACCTGGTCGCTGCTGAAGTCAAACTAAACTCATCTCCGCTACATACAGACCAGTATATAGAGAGACGAGACGACGAGGCTCCAGTTACAGCAACAGCACCTGGCTGTGCCCACTGGGGAGCGCCATATTGCGACCTCCACAGTAACCGGAAACACGTGACCTCCACACTAACCGGAAATACGTAACTTCAGTTAAATCGACTTTGACAGCAAAAACTAAATTGTGTTTTTGTTACTATTGATGCTGCTGATAAATAAATTTTGTTCTAAGTGTTTTAACACTCTGGGTTTATTTAAAAAAAAAAATCACCATCCCTTCAGCTCATTTGTGGCCAAAAGTGTCCATGTGATTTTGTTTCTTTGCTTTTTCTGCATGAAGGTTTTTTAATAAATATAAAATAATCATTACTTTTTACATTTTTAATCCTTCAAACACCTTTTTCTAGTACAATGCACTTGTTTGAAGACAACCTCAAGACACCATTTCATATATCAACAGTGCTACTGGAAATTATTGTACAGTGGTCCCTGCAGTTCACCTTTAAATGCAAAAATGGCAACTTTTGTGTATGTTCACAAAATGCTGTAAAATGTATATTTATTAAAACATTTATCTACTTTTACCGACTTGACTCTTTAAATTAGCACCAGTCCTTTTCATCAAAAAACCAAAATTTTATCTACATTCTTTTTTTTTTTTTACACTTTAAATGCCAGTTAGGCTATGTATTACCAGTAACTTTTCAGATAAAATGTGATAAACTCCTAATGGTTTGATAAATCTTCCTATTTTTTTTTCATCTGAGCATCGGGGACAAGGCTGTCTTGCAATTGTTGAGGTCACAAGTGTGCGCCCTATTTCTTCCAGGATCACTCTTCATTTGTAGGTTTTAGAGGACTCCTAGTACTGTGAAGTGGTTTTCATAGGTCAAAGGCATTGTATTCCAAGATCTGGGAGATTGTAGAAATGAGCAGGAATGCCCTTCTTGCCATCTTTCCAGAAAAATAAGTGATCTGGAAGCTGTTAGGCTTACTTACAGCAACAGCACTTTCTGCACCTGCATAAACTCCAGGACACATTTATTAACAGTGTTTTTTGCTGTGTGTGCTGCAGCTTTTTTTTTAAGAGTTAATATTTTGGCTATGGTGTGTCGTTATGAAATGTACAAGAGTACAAGTGTTTTTAGCATGTGCTTCAAAGATAAGTTTGACTAGGAAACTCAAAGTTCAATAGTCTGTATCAAGAGAAATTCATTGCAGCCAGTGTAATATTTGATGCATCAAAATTTATTCCAGTCTATCTTGCAAATACATATTTGTGTTGCAATGTCATGCACAAACACACACAACTATTAGATCCTTAAGATCAAACCTGTGTCATTCTTTTGGTCCATTGCAGTGTAGTAGTCAAAAAAAAGAAGTGAAGTGGCCACAAAATATTATTGATTACAGGGTAACACATTAATGTTTTAATAGCAACTGTAAGCTTTTTACGTTGAAGTCACAAGTATAAACAATGCTGTTACATTTACACTTAATTTTTTTACTATAAGTATGGAAACAAGTGAACAACATTTTTTTACTATAAGTATGGAAACAAGTGAACAAGTGAACAACATTTTATAATAAGTTTAACTGGAATTCTGTACACTGAAAAACAAACAACACATAAAAAGCACAAACAAACAGCCAGTGCCTTCATCTGTCCATTAAATGTCAAATATCACATTGACCCGTAGTCTCTGCTCGTCAGCACATGCTTTTAAATTTCCCCTAATTTCCTTCGGGATTAATAAAGTATTCTGATTCTGATTCTGATTAGAAAGAGCTCCATATCCTCTGCAAACTGAAAAACAAAGAGAAAGAAGTCCCTCTACACAAAAACACTGCAGATGACAGGCCAAGCAAACATCTGTTGATCTGTTTGAATGCCTCCTCATCATGTGAGCCTTGAAGTTGTTTTTTTTTTCAAGAAGACTAAGACCACAGTGAGGGTATTTCCTTTTCATGGACTTTCCATAAACTGCAGTTTCATTTAGCACAGAGGGTAGAACACATGAATGTTCTACCAAAGATTCAGAAAATGGTTTAGATGCTGCAGACAAGACATCGAGACGGAGATGGGGCTCCACGGAGAGTTCAGTGGGGAGTAGTCCTGAATGCTGACATGACAATAATTGACTTGCCATATCCCCATGCTGTATGATTGTCATGTAACAGACACGGCAGTGAAAGTGCACCGGCATATCGTTTTGTCTGTACGAGAGAAAAAAAGAAAAACAACAACAACATGTAATTTAAATGTAGTTTATCTAACAATCAGATTGTACATATCAACAAAAATATCCAAGCCATCCTCAATAAGGAAAGCAAAATGGTGTGGATCACAGGAGCTGTCAAAAAATGTGGTGAACAGGAAAAAATATTTAATGAAAACACGCTTTTTTCTCTTGCTGATGAATGCACTGAACTGCACAATGTGAAAAGCAACTTTTAAGTCAACAGAGAGACTGCAGAAGTGCTGAAAAGAAGTGCATATTTATAACTTTAACAATGAGGTATATTTAATACCAACATACCTTTGAAAAGCAAAGCATTTTTAATGTGTCCATTTATATGCTCCTCAATCTGTGCCCTGACAGTAGAGCTGAAAGTGGGGGACAGAGGGCAGTGAAACAGCCAACATGTGGTGCATTCCTGCAATTCTGGCCTGGAGGCAGAATTCCAAATTGATATGTGCATCTAAAACAGAGAGAAAAACAGATAAAGATCATATACACATTTAAGTTCAGGTTTTCGCAGAAATGACACGCTGCAGTTAGCATGTAAGAGATTTGGGGAGAAAATTCTTTACAAAAACATCATTTTCAAGACACCTTTATTTGTGACATACGTATCTATTGACATATAAAAGACAATTTAACAAAGGCTAACTAAAATCTGCGGAATAAAAAAGCAGAACAGAATGAAATAAAGAATATTAGTATTTATAAATGTATAAATCTCTTTGTGACAAACTTTACAATGTTGATGCAGGTGAAATGAGAGACATGAATAAAGCGCAATATGCAGTAAATGGAACAATGTGCATTGATGTCAGATAGTGAAAAGCAGTGAAGTGAATTTGTTCATAACAAGCAAAAATCAAATACGTCCGAAACTGACCACTAAATGCTAACCAGAGGTGTCAAAAGTACACACATTCCTTACTTAAGTTTAGATACCTCGGGGGTATGACAGTTGTTGTAACGCTAACAAAGTGCCAACGTAATCAGTGTAAGCAAAGTAGATGATTCCTAACGGCAAGTTTATACATGGAAGACTCTGTACCAACCTTTACGATCGATTTGCAAGGTTAATGATCCATGCAGGAACGAGACAAAAAATAAATAAATCCATGCAGAACGTATTTCTGCCTACTGTGGAGATCACATGTTTCTGGTTAGTGTGGAGGTCCCAATATGGCGCTCCCCAGTGGCTGCAGCCAGACCCTTCTCAGTTACAGCAGTGCAAGTAAACAAACAATATATATAAGAAGAGTAAGAAAATATATATACACTTTAGGACTCGGGGTAAAGGGCTCAATAACAATTTATAATTTACAGTTTGATGATTCAAAGTCTCACACACAACCCGTCGAAAGGGGAGGGAGACATGCTACTTCCAAATAGAGCACATTTCATTCATAATGATGTAAATCCAAGCCCATTATGTATTCATGATTTGAATCCTGGGTTGTGCGAAATCCCAGAAATAAACCCTACACAAAGTGAATCTGTGAACTAAGGTGTAGGTTTATTAGGTTATGTTGTGGTGATCCAAGTGTTGGGGGATTTGTGTTCATACTGGAGTGCAAAATTAAAACCAATGGAAGATCGACAAGAAAAGTTCAAAGCCATCAGGTGCTCAGTTTAGAAAAATGAGAAAAGAAGAGGAGGAGAAACGAGTAAAAGATACAGGTAAGCAGATGTGTCATTGGATAATGGCAGGCCATCCTGAAACAATCAGAATCAGA